ATTTTATTTATTTATATATTCACAGTAACCATCAAAATATCTAACTGTAAAAGGGATTCGATGGATGCTTGAATGAATGAATGAATGAATGAATCACAAGTTAAATGCTACATTCTTATTTCTGCCATTGGGTTATTCTAGAGAGACTATATCTCATTCCAAAGCTTTCTCTCTTTTTTACTCAGTTTACCTTAACTAGAGTCTAACAGAACAGGGTTTAAAAATGCTTACCTACCTTAAAAGGCATTATTTTCTTAAATGATCAGTATACTGTCAGATTACTTATGTTGTGTGATCGATTTTGTGACTGTTTCTGTACAATTCTTATTCTCTTCTACTTGATTCCATTACTTCCTTCATCTCTTAACCATAATTAGTGTGACTATAATTCTCCCGTAAGAACCTCCAGCAATGTTTCTTAATCTTTTTTTCAGATTCAGAGAGCTATGGAGTCTTTTTATTTTTTTGCGGTATGCAGTCCTCTCACTGCTGTGGCCTCTGCCGTTGCGGAGCACAGGCTCCCGAAGCGCAGGCTCAGTGGCCACGGCTCACGAGCACAGCCGCTCCGCGGCATGTGGGATCTTCCCGGACCGGGGCACGAACCTGTGTCCCCTGCATCGGCAGGCGGACTCTCAACCACTGCGCCACCAGGGAAGCCCAGCTATGGAGTCTTTATCCCAAAAAATGTCCATCCACTCCAAATTCAATATATTATGATTTTATTTTATGAAGCCCCAAAGTAACATTAATTAGGTCAGAGAGTAGTTTCCTGTGAGGGGGGCTGGCGACGGCAGGGAGGAGGCGAAGGCTCCGGCAACCCTGGGATGATACTCTACTTATTGATCTCAGTACTGTTCACACTGCTGTGCTCCCCTTTGAGAAAATTCATTGAGCTGTATCGTTATCACTTGTGCACTTCTATGTTTGTGTTTTAATATTCATTATGATGGAAAACATTGGTAATTACTGTCAGAGTTGACAACTTTCCGGACCCTGGTTAAAAATTGACTAGAGCAACAACTGTCCTTCTCTTACAGTATCTGTTAAAGATGCAGAAAAAGGACTAACTAGGGTGAGGGAGGAGAGCAATGGTGGTTGGGGGCAGGGCGGGGAGTGCATAACCCTCCCCATCATCACTTTTATTTACCTAGTACAAGCAAATAACAATCGCCCAATATTCTTTGCTGTGGACAGTTTACACTTTTCTGATCTAATACAGTGTCAATAAAATCATCGCTAGAAAAACAAAACAAACCTCCAATGCCTATCAATGATGAGCAAGAAAAAAATCTGCTCCGTAAAATCTTCCTAGCAAATCCTACCTTGCTTCTCTTCTATTTTTTCACCCTCATCTCTGTATCCTGTGATTATTCTGATCATGGGGCCAGGCTTCTCCATCCTGGTTCTGACCAACGGTGGGTTTTACCTACTTGGGAGAAGACAGGAGGCAGATGTTGCGAGCCCACCAATGGACTTTTTCATCACAGACCACTACCAGAATATAAACATGAGACTTGAGTCAGTATCAGGCTGGAGCTGTAGAATTGGGGGTATTAGCCCACACATCTGACACCCAAACTTACTACCCCACATTTCCAAAAACAGACATCTGGGGATAGGAAAACAGTCAGTTAAGAGTACAGGAGTACAGTACAAAGAGTCTTCATAAACTGTCTTCCTCTTTAATCTCAAGTCCACAACCACAGCTAGGTTCCAAATATCACTGGCGGTGCCCATTCTATGTCTCCTTGACTGGGTCTTCACCCTGCCTCAGTTTCATGTACAGACTGAACACACACCCGAATCAGAACCTATCAGCTCTCAGAGCAGAGGTAATCTAGTTACTGAAAATACACAGGTCATCAAAGTCACTCAAAACCTCATGGTGAGAGAGAACAGAGTAACTGTAATCAAATACTTATTAACAAATATTTTCTGAGAATCTAATTTTCTAGGCACAAGGGACTTTACATTCATTGAGCTTACATTCACTTGAGCAAGAAAAATTAGTCATATTTTCTGAACTCCAAATGGCAGAACTCAATGCAACTCTTTGCTACTTAGGAAAAAATAACAATTTTTTTTTTTTTTTGGCTGCACTGGGTCTTTGTTGCTATGCACAGGCTTTCTCTAGTTGCAGCAAGCAGGGGCTACTCTTCATTTCAGTGTGCAGGCTTCTCATTGCGGTGGCTTCTCTTGTTGCAGAGCATGGGATCTAGGGTGCTTGGGCTTCAGGAGTTGCAGCACACAACCTCAGTAGTTGTGGCGCACGGGTTTAGTTGCTCCATGACATGTGGGATCTTCCTGGACCAGGGATTGAACCCATGTCCCCTACATTGGCAGGCGGATTCTTAACCACTGTACCACAAAAGAAGTCCCAATAACAGATAATTTTATATTTTTCTTTTTGTTTCTCCCGACTCACTAGCATATACTCAGATCACCATGAACTGTTTTCACAATAAATAAAAACATTAAGGGCTTCTTTATAAAAAAAAAAACAAAACCTGGTAAATGGAGAGAGGTGACTTTCAAAGTAGAAACAAAGACAAACATTTGTAAAAAAAAAAAAAAAAAAAAAAGACAAACATTTGTGAAAGATGTAGAAGACTGAATGCATTCCGTACATGATCAGACGTAAGGTCACCACTGAACTTTGCTTCAGCGCTATCCCTTGGCAAACCCTGCTCCTCTGTTACTGTCTACATCAGCCTTCCTTCTTTCCATTCCTAATGTGTAAAGATCTCACTTTCTCTTCAACTGGAGATGATTCTCTACATATTCATGTTTTATTCCATAATTATAAGGTATTACATTGTAGATTAGCACACTGAATAAATAAAAAAATAAGAACAAGCGAAGCAGCGGTCCACAACCCTAACTTGGCTTTTCAAAACTCATGAATATTTTTTCCATTTCCATTGTAAAGCCTTTCTGTTAAAAATACAGTTAATAGGAACAATGTTTAGTTACCTGTGTCCAATTAGTTTAACTGGGTAGGGTTTGGATTTAATGAGATTTATTCCAAGACTTTAATTCCCACATGAAGCAGTTAGCTTCACTCATCTCCCTATTAGGGACTCTATCTCCACCCCAGCCAGCCACGTCCCTAAGCATCAGACTATGCATCACGGCAAACAATGTTATTACAACTCGAAAATCAACAACAAATACACTTTCTTCTTAAACATCTTCATATATGGACAAATGGATGCTAGATAAATCATATAAATCTTCTTGGAAGATTTCCGTGACATTACTCATAAATGTGTTCAGAAATATAAGAAATGATTATTTCGAAATTTGGGCAAAAATAATGGCACCCATTCCCAGATCCGGCAATGTACACTACTTTCAGATGCGAGTAAACATGTTGGATGTTGTATTTCTCACTAGTGGCCAACCCAATTCAATAAAATTAATCAGTACAGAAATCTACTTTTTCATAGGCATTCTAGATGGTTCTCATGATCAAGGAAGAGCTGGGAAGTACTGTGTTAATACCCTTTCACAGCTCTGGTTCATGTAATTATGTTCATGAGCTACACCCATCACAAAGAGAAAAAGCACTCAGTACCAGATCGCTGGCCACTAAGCAGCCTATAGGCATGAAACAAACAGCCCCCAATTCATATCTTGCCCACATGGCCATTATGCTCCTCTCTGAAGCAACTGGCCCAGACACTTCTATACACATACTTGAGTATTTTTTCATACACTGTCCATGTCAAGTCTTCAAGAATACAGTCAGAGGAATCCATAAAGTTTAAAAATAAAGATGCACAGGGGCTTCCGTGGTGGCGCAGTGGTTTGAGAGTCCGCCTGCCGGTGCAGGGGATACGGGTGCGTGCCCCGGACCGGGAGGATCCCACATGCCGCGGAGCGGCTGGGCCCGTGAGCCATGGCCGCTGCGCCTGCGCGTCCGGAGCCTGTGCTCCGCAGCGGGAGAGGCCGCAGCAGTGAGAGGCCCGCGTACCGCAAAAAAGAATTTAAATAAAATAAAATAAAATAAAGATGCACAAAATGATAAGAATTTAAATTGTCTTCCTAGCTGTCACTGTGGCTATATTCTTTGATAATGCATCCAGACACGCCCAATCTCATGCCTTTCTCCTATGGTAACCAGCTGCTTTCAAAATAACAGCTCCAATATTAAAAACGTGAAGTAAAAATTTTGATGCCATAAAGATGTATTTTACATCATTTCAAAATACATGTATTTAAACTCACAGCTACAGTATGCTGCATCAAATATTTTTATTTTTTGCAGCAAGGAGGTGATTTCTCAAACTATAAACATTTCAGTACATTTAATAACACATATGGTAGAAGTAGAACTAAATTTCATAGCTAGTCTACTTATATCTAGACTATAAATTCTTGTGTTTGCCAAAAGGGTGAACTATACACATGCTGGCAATGAGCTAGATTTAAACTGTGCTTTCATCAAACGTACTCTCACATCTAAAAATAGCTCCCCATGCAAAGATCAGGAAAACCAGAGAGCACAGATAACAAATCATTAAGAAATAAATTATTTATCTCTTTAAAATATATGTATGCATAACTCAGAAGTAAGTTAAATTATACTGAGTTTTACTCGATGCTAATATAAAAATCTTGAACCTTCTACAGCAGTATATATCTTTTATATGAGATCAGTTTGTATTCCTTTAAACTGTTTGAATAAAAACTCAAATTACCATTATTTTAGTCAATGTTCAAAGTCCTCACAAATATCGATATCTGATAATGCTACTTCATGAGACTGTGAAATAGTAGAATGTTTTTTTTATTTTGAATAAGATTGGCCTATTTCTACTTGCAGATACCATTCAAAGCAAAGAAATAATACAACATGGTTAAGCAGCTCTCTCCCTGAGGTGGTTTTCTGTAAAAAGAATTTGAAGGAAAATGAACAGTCACCATTCACTAAGAAGAGAAAAAGCAAGCTCAAGAGCAGAACTGATATAACAGACACTGGCTGAAAGAAAGCATACCTTTCCCTCTCTCCTTCCGTGACGTCATATAAGCGGTTGGCACCTCCATCAGCACAGGCTCTTAAAAGAGCTTCAAAAAGAAAAAAAAACAAAGAATATTTCAATATAGGAAGCTTAGAGCAGTATCTTTCAAAGGCTGAACGTTAAAAGGCACTCAGACACACACACGCATACACACACACTCACGCTCCCCTCCTTGGATCATTTCACATTCAGCCAGTGACACTGCTGGTACTGAAAACGATCCTACACATCACACACACAAGCGAGACCACCAGGCAAGTCCCTTGCTCCCTTATTTTATTAATTTTTATAGAAATTTTCTATTTATGGCAGGTATTAAGGGTTTCCATATTTTACTGTGATATGGAAGATTTCTTTTAAAAATAAATCATAGGGCTTCTCTGGTGGCGCAGTGGTTGAGAGTCCGCCTGCCAATGCAGGGGACACGGGTTCATGCCCCTGTCCAGGAAGATCCCACATGCCGCGGAGCGGCTGGGCCCGTGAGCCATGGCCGCTGAGCCTGCATGCCCGGAGCTCGTGCTCCGCAACGGGAGAGGCCACAACAGTGAGAGGCCCGTGTACCACAAAAAAAAATAAAAATAAATAAATAATAAGCATAACATCATAAGTTTATTTTAAAGTATGAAGTAACTAATAATCTAGATATATATGACTGTAAAAATTGAGAAGTTGGTACAAAATTGACTGAAACTTGGGAAGCACTAAGATAATCAGATAAGGCAAAAGAGCCCCAGCTGCCTCTCTAACTGGGCCTTTTTATCTCTTGGCTTACCGTGCTTTTCCCCTAGTATCATCCTAGGATTTGATGCTGCTGGTCAATCATTCCTTGAAATTTTCTTAGTCCATTGTCTACTATTTTTGTCGTTGTTACTTCTCTAATTTCTAATTTTCCCAGAAATGGTCAGTATCTTAGCATCAATTCATCCCTTTATTTAAAAAAATATATCCTTTATCTAATAGTTTCAAATCAAACTTTTTCTTTTTAATCCTGGGCAATATAAGAGTGAATGCTGAGATGTCTAAGATTCTAATTCCTCACCCTGAACAGACCAAAGCCTTGCCTCTGTCCCCACATAGCTGTTAAAACCAATCATTAGGTCATAAAAATCAGCAAAGACCTTGGACACCAGCAGTTTCAGAAGAAATAAACTATAATCGGCCCTCCATACCCAAAGGTTTCAAATTTGGTCCCCTGCTGAATCTGTGGAAGGAGCTGAATTCCTGTATTGCACCATTTTGTATTAGTGACTTGAGCATCTGCGGATTTTGGTATCTCAGGGGTTCCTGGAACCAATCTCCCACGGATACCGAGAGACAACTGTATTTTTTTTGAGCTACTTCCTCATTTTATTGCACTTATGAAATCACCTTCCCTTTTTGCAAATTTAGCTACACATTTAAAAGAGTGTTTATAAAATCTACCTCCAAATTTCTAGGTGTTTTATAACAGGTGGAATATTGGAAAAGATAGTTAATTGACCGTACTGGCATGAGTAAAGGTCCCAAAGAATTTTCCACTAATCAATGATATACGGGAAATAGTTTTCTGTCCTATATTATATCAGAAATAAAACAGAGGCCAAGTGGGGAAAAAAAAAAAGAAATCCCTTTTTTGCTTCAACCTCTTCAACTGTAAATGGTAATAGTATCACCTTTGACAGAGGTATTAAGCAATTAATGACTTAATAATTATAATAGTGCTCATCACAATACTGGAACATAGTAAGCATTCAACAGACTAAGGCATTCATTAGTCATCTTTCTCCATTCCTGTTAGAATGAAAATAAAGTCTAAAAAGCATTGTTTTTCTAGAAAAGAAAAGCCTAAGGTCCTTAAAAAGTGCAAAACAAAAATAAGAGTTTTTACAAGATATCTAAGAGGGACATCTCATTTTACCCATTACCGACAACAAGTATTTCCCTTTAAGGAAAGGGACCCAAATTCAAATTATACCACAAACATAACCTGCAGAAGATCACAAAATATTCTGCATATTTCCTTAATACCAAACACTAAAAGTTCAAAAACATCAAAGGATAAATGGAGAGATAATCTCACATACAAAAGATGATGTAGAACAAATGAATAGGGAGATGGAAAAGACTGATAAATAGAAACAGATGGGGGCTGCCCTGGTGGCGCAGTGGTTGAGAGTCCGCCTGCCGATGCAGGGGACACGGGTTCGTGTCCCGGTCTGGGAAGATCCCACATGCCGCGGAGCGGCTGGGCCCGTGAGCCATGACCGCTGGGCCTGCGTGTCCAGAGCCTGTGCTCCGCAATGGGAGAGGCCACAACAGTGAGAGGCCCGTGTACCGCAAAAAAAAAAAAAAGAAACAGATGGTAAACTGTAATTACCCTCAGAGTATATAATACATTTCTCTGTAAACAAAATTAACAAGTCTGTTGTATCTTTTTATGTAAGATCTTTTTATGTAAAATTGATTCACTGAAGTAAAATGAAAATCTAGAAGTAGTGGCAAAGGATTATCAAATAGAATGACTTGTCATGTTTTCGCACTATATCATTTTACAAATATCAGTTGAATTCAACATTTATACCTATCACGTGGCAGGCCCTAAACAGAATAGAAAGATGAATAACAGAAAGAACTAGTTCTCCAGACTCACACTATTGTGGAAAAAGGAGAAAGAGAAGCACATATTTACATTGCACTGTAGACATTGATGAGGGCTATGACAGAAGCAATGAAACATGATGGGAGGACTGGGACAGGAGACAATTTCAGTGGACAAATCTGTAAAACTGTGTATTATTAACTCTAGTTCAGCTAAAATCAGTGTTACTTTGATAATCCAAAATTGTTTTCTCCTGCCTGTTATTTCTCACACCCAGACTTAAACTGGTATTTTTAGAGCAGTTTTAATAAAAGAGAAATACCTAAGTCTTAGGAAGTATATTTGTCCACATCTATTCTTGTTTTAAATGAATAAAAGAGTTAAAATAACCGTGATGAAATCTGTGGACCACTCTTTTATTACCTAGAAGCTGGGATTGTGGTGCAATCCATCTGAAAGAAAACACAAGCTCCAGTCTGTCCCTAAAACTATTTTGTTTTGTTGTCAATAAAGTTTAACAAAAAAGATATACTCTACCACTTTTAAATCTTATTAATGAAATATTTTCCATGTACTTAAATAAAATTGCATTTGGAAAACAAAATTTCAAGCATGTATTACATAATGTTGGCATGAATTCATTGGTAGCAATTTGAAAGCTGAGTAAACAAATGACTATTAATGAAAGTGACCAACTAAAAAAATCAGTAGCAGAGGACACTCTCAAATAAGATATTTTTGATAAATCACGAATCAGCCTCAAAAATATGTTCACTCCATCATCATTTAAATTGTCCCACGCTTTAATGAAAAGAAGTTACTGCATGAGTTATCTTTAATGTAAAAATGTCATTGGCTCATACAGCAAAATTTTTGCAGATTTATCAAATACTACAGTTTCAATGCTTGAATAGTTATTTACTATGCATCAGGCTGATAAACAGCTGAAGACTAAAATACATTAAAATCTCTACATCAACTTTATATATTGGTACTACCAATAAGCATACTAAATACATCTGAAACTAATTTTTTTTTAACCTGGCATAAGTTACTGTTACTGACAAATAATGAAGAGCTCCACTCACAATCAGAGGTTACTTGGTTAGTTCATTAATTTCTGTTGAATAAAGCTGGACAGAAATGATTTGACTTTCTGAAAAGTAGACTATGATATTGGTTCCAAGTATTAAGATGTAAGAAAAAATAAAGTAAAATCAAAGAAACATTTTTCAGTGTCAGTCAACTGAAAGAACACTAGACATAAAGGATTTTGATTCCTATCTGGATCAGCCACTTATCAGTACTATGACTGATCTAATCCCAAGCGTGCTGATTCCAATGCAAAATAGAGTATCATATATATTTTACCAAGCTCACAAAATTTTTCAGGAACTGGAGAGAGACAACAAAGATAAAACCAGAAGGAAGTAGCATGGGGAAACATATTCTCTTACATGCAGTTGATAAAATTATAATTTTGAGAGACAGTTTGGCAGATTTATAAAAATTTCAATGTGTATGTCCTTTGATCCAGAAATGCTAGGTAGCCTCTATAAAACTTGCCCAAATTCACAAGGGCGTATGTACAAGGATAGTCACTGTGATATCATATGTAATCCTGAAAAAGCTGTTAGCAAACTTGAATGGTCATCACTTAAATATTGGTAAAATATATCAAAGCCCTTGTAAGGAACCATTAAAAAAAAAGTAGCTCTTATATGTATTTATATGTTATCTCTTATAAGATATGTTATTTAAAACTTTAGGTCAAATCTTCCTTGCAACAACAACTCAGAGAATATATAGAAATATGCCTAATTCAATAAAACTAAGAATTGTACCAAGGTTACTATGTCAAGAATGCTTATCCAAGTCATCAGTGATCAGCATTAATACGATGCACCCACACTGGAGAAAGGACGCTAGACCTACACCCTGAGGAAGCTCATCAAAACAGCAAGGCACAACAGCTCAAGAGACCCAAGAATCAAGTCTTCCTGGTCAGAAGCATACCAAACAAGGAGTGACCAGAATGTTTGAAAGTCACTCCTGGGAAGTAACTAGACGTTCACTATTTTTGTTAACAATCATTATTTATTACCTGTCTTGAAACTCTTCCTTAAAGCTAAGTAAACTTAGTGTTGCGTAAAGCCTATCATGTCTTCTTAGTTTGCTAATCCAAGACCACTTCTGTGTTGCACACAATGAACTCTTTAACCTTGATTATTCATAAGGAATAGGCATGGGATCATGGAAGACACTCTTTCACTCTTACATTAAAACACTGTGCTGCTAAAAATATTTTTACAAGAAATATGAATTATATTGTAATTACAATTTTAAAACCAGTAATAATAACTAAAAAGGAAAATACACATAAGGTAACAAGAATAATTTCAGATCCAATCCCATTATTAGGAGAAGAAATCAAATATTTTGACAGACTTGGTCAGGATTGAGTTGAA